CACTCAGGTGGCTGCGTTATTACCCCTGCTCTGGGGCCCCCTGCACCCGGCCTCCTCCCCGCTCTTCTCCACATTGCCAGCTTCACTTCTGTGTTCTCTTTGCCCAGGTGCACCAGAAGGCTTCTCTCATTTCCTTCCATGACATCTTGAATGACTCTTCCGGAAAGCTTCAAATACGCCTAAAGTCAAGACTGCAATCATAAGCAATAAAAGAATGACTCCAGGAGCACCTCCTGGCTCATCTGACATCTTACTCTAGATCTCAGGATCATGAGCTCAAGCCTCACGTTGGGTGTGGAGCCTACTCTGAAAAAAAAAAAGACTCCCAACCCATAGAGGGGGAGTGGGTCATTTGCATGGCTCTGTTGTCAGAAAACACAACCTCGTGATTCTTTCCCCCTCTTCGCCTTACAGAAAGAACCACAGAGAAAGGATAAAAGTCACTACAGCCAACATTCATTCACGTTCTGCTCTAGAAACTAAGTTTCCCAAACACATGCCAAGCTCCAGAGCAACAGTTGAATTACATGTTCTGTCCACAATTTCAACCTTTTTGCCCTTCATTAGAGCAATACCATGATAGGAATTAGTAAGGGGATGGGGAAGTACAGACAGAGAATCGAAAAAAAGGTAAAACGTTACCACGTTATCGAGCTACAGATGGTGCGGCCGTATGGCAAGACTCCAAAGAGAAAAAAAATCTACTCTTACTGAGGAAAGCAGGCAAGCGACAGAGGAGGACAGGGAAGAAAGAGCTGCCAGCCTGCTCTCCCCGTGTGAGTGGAAGAAAGCGGCTTTTCTCTTTGAAAAGCAGATGAAGGTTAAGCCCTTGGGGAACTCTGACTGATGATTCTCTTTCATGAACCAGCACATCTTAAACACATTTCCCTTGAGAAGTGGCATCATCATTTCATTTCATGGTCAAGGTCACTAAAATGCTCCAAAAATAAGTTGGAAGCAGGGAGCAAAAGGAAGAAAGCAAAAAAAGCAGCTTTGACAACAAAATGATGATGTGAGCAGGTACATTGTGCAGCGGCTCAAGGCTCTTATCCTGACAGGTCATTTAGCCCCTGTGGATGTGGCCTTTGTGTCTCTTTCTTCCCCTAATGACTCAGCCTGTTTTCAATGGCTACACCCTCACGGGAACAAAGATGACAGAGGACATGCACAGTAATCAGAGCAATTAGTTTGGGAAGATCACATAACACTGATCCTAATACAAAAGGACACAGTTCAAAGAAAAACTCCAAGTCTGATGTTTCTTCAGGGTCACTGTCAGAGGCCCTGGATGTGTGTGTCACAGTCAGCCTGGACTGTTACAGGGAGGTTGGCAGAAATGGACCCAGCATAGGGGCACCTGGGGGGTTCAGACTATAGCATCCAACTCTTGGTTTCAGCTCAAGTCATGATCTCGCTGCTCATGAGATCGAGGCCCGCCTTGGGCTCTGCACTGACAGCTCAGACCCTGCTTGGAATTCTCTCTCTCTGCCCCTCCCCTACACACACGTGTGCTCTCTCTCTCTCTTTCTCTCTCTTTCTCTCTCTCTCTCTTTCTCTCTCTCTCTCGACAAATAATAAACATTTTTTTAAAACGGGCCCAGCATGTTAAATGCACCAGATCACCCAAGCCAAGCTCGGGGACATCTTGGATGTTGATTTTTCAGTCTTTAATCCAATACCAAGTCCTGTTCCTTCCTCTCCTGAAGCCTCACTGATAACTGTCCTTACCGCTTCATTCAGCATCCGCCCAGGCTGCAGTTCTCTGCCATCTGCCCCGCTGCCTGCAACAACTCCCCCATCCTCCGGTCACTTCCACACTGCGGCCCAGTCTGCGTTCCATTGCCAGAACCCTCTTCCTAAACCCCCATTGCCTCCTGTTCTTTCTCACCAGTGAAAAACATACCACTAAATGCACCACTTTTATGCATCATCGCGTATTTGGGAAGCATGGTCTTCCCGTAGCATCTTCGTGTCCGCAGCCCCCCTTCTTCAGCCCACTGCTTGTACACTGGTTTCTCCTCCCTGCACCCTGGTCCACTAAGGCTCTGCCTCCCAAGTCCATCCACACGCCTCCGCTCGTGAAAACCCACAGCAAGATCCCATCCTTCCCCTTCAGGATCTTAGTGCAACTTGTAACACAATAACCAAGCTCTCTGGGAAACTCCCCTGGGCGGCTTTGAAGATCACACTCTTGGGGCACCAGGGGGCTCAGGTGATTAAGCATCTGCCTCTAGATATTGGGTCACATCATGAGATGAAACCCCCGCCATGGGGCTCTGGGCTGACAGCACTGAGCTTGCTTGGGATTCTATCTCTCTGCCCCTCCCCTACTCATGCTCTCTCTCTCTCTCTCTCTCTCTCTCAAAATAAATAAGCAAACTTAAAAAAAGTCACACTCTTAAACATCCTCCCTTAGATCTTCCTTTTCTGTCTTCTTTTCCAAAGTCTCCCCTCCCAAACCTCGAACTTTTGTGTTCACCAGGTCCCATCCTAAGTGAAACTTCCATCTTTCTGTCCCCAGGGCCCAACCCAGTGGCAGCCCCTGCACATAGAGTCCCTTAATCAATGTTATTGGATTACAGATTTTTTTCAGATTGATGATGTTATTTATCCCAAATCTCCCCACTGTGTGCGGGCTAAAGTTCAACATCCTCGGTCTAGAATTAAAAGCTTACAGGGCACCTGGGTGGCCCAGTCACTTGAGGGTCCAACTCTTGATTATGGCTCAGATCACGATCCCACGGTCACTGGATCGGATTCTGCACGGGAAGTGGAGCCTGCTTAAGATTCTCTCTATCTCTCCCTCTGCCCCACTCATGTGCACTTCTCTCTCCCCCTCTCTCTCTCAAATAAAAAACCAGTGAATAAATAAAGCTTTCTACCATCCATTCCTTCCCTTCCTGTTATACCTTCCCACTTCCCTTCTCCAACAAAGACATTTCCCCAGAAATCCCTCACTGTCCCTTCTCACTATCCCAAATCTGGACTCTGAGACTTTGTTCAAGTAGTTTATGTGTCCTGATAGACCCTTAACCTCTACCCTTTTATGCCTACACAAGTCATACCCATCTTCCATGAACTGGTTCAAATTCTCTTCTCAAAGGCCTGACCACTCAGAAGAACAGCCATCTTGCCCTCCGTACACTTTCTATTAGGTCTTCTCAAAAACACATATGGATGCATGCTTTCATGGTTATGTACTCATCTGGGATGGGATATGGGAGGAAGATCTATAGTGGGGATGGCAATGGGAACTATGAAGGAGTGTAAGTGTGTGTAAGCATGAGGTCTGGGGGTTGTTTCCTTAGGAGGCAGTTTACTCATTACTTGCTAATGGACATCCCCTATTGTCAAGTACAGCAACAGACCTCCACTTGGGGCTCAATAAACAGGTAGCAACTGATTTTAGGGGAGCCTGGATGGCTCAGTCAGTTGGGTATCTGACTCTTGATTTTGGCTCAGGTCATGAGCTCACAGTCATGGGATTGGGCCCTACATTGCACTCCATGCTGGGCATGGAACCTGCTTGAGATTCTCTCTCTCCCTCTGTCCCTCCCCTGTGCTCTCCCACACTCTCTCTCTAAAGTAAAATAAAATAAAGTAAAATCAAATCAAATCAAATAAAAACAAGTATCTCATTTTCTAGAAGGAAGGAAAGAAAGAAAGAAAGAAAGAAAGAAAGAAAGAAAGAAAGAAAGAAA